AGTAGGATGATGACGCTGAGAACCCTTCTGGATGTGGGGTGACAGGAGAGGAGTACAGAGTCCCTGAGCCTTTGCAGTTAAAAATGACCAGCAATATTATAGAGATACTAGTGTCCACCTTTCTTCTGCTCCCCATCCTGGTAGGAGCATCTGCTTTCACTCCTCTGTGCATCAGCTGGAGGCCCAGGCTGCAGGAGCTAGGCAGACCCCTAGGCCAAGCTGTTAGCCTCTGCCCTGCACTGGCCACAGCAGACTGCAGGGTGCTCAGGACAGGTATCAGGTGCAGCAGAGCATGAGTGAGGAGGAAGGAAACTGCAGCGGGAGAGGCTGCTGCCATCCAGAGCCCAAGGAGGATGATGCTGGCATCCACCCTACTCCCAGGGCTCCTGGGACCTCCTGCCTCTCTGTTTATCACTTGGCTTCAGATCAGTGTCTTCAGCCAGCCTCAGCATCTTAGGCCACTGGAGCCATTGTGTCCCACTCACTTTCTTCCACAACCAGGCAGGTATTTCCTGAGCACCCACCATGTAGGAGAGTAGCACATGGGCATCAGACGTGGTGAAGCCACACAGCTCAGCCAGTGGCACATATAGACTCCAGGAGCTGCCAGGTATCCAGTGGGTGAAGAGGCTGGGTCTTCAATGGACCTCTGGGGAGGTAGGTGTCCCTGGAGCTTGTGAGCAGAAGGCATTTATGTAGGAGTTCAGTGGTGACACAGACCCTTAAAGATGGGGAAGGGAGCCTTGGATGGGACCAAAGTCCCCTTTGTGGGAATGTGCATGGCGAGTAGACAAATATTCAGTGGGCCAACCTGGGAGTCTGGGGCAGTGGGCATGGTGGAGTCCAAGCAGGGCAGAGCTTTACTGCCAGGCTGACAGGCGTGGATTGCACCAGTAAGCCATGGGAGTTCTTGTCTGAGGACAGGAGGATTGTCTACGGTGCTTTGTGCTATGTGTGGAGCTGGCTTTTTCCCTTCAGAGCAGCGCTGTCCCATCTGGAAGCCACTAACCACGAGGAGCTTTTGAGTGCTTGGAATGTGGCTAGTTCCTTGAGATGTGTCATAAGAACAAAATATATACCAGATTCTGAAGATCTAATATGAAAAACAGAATGTAAAATATCTCAGCAATCCTTTTTATCAAATACATATTAAAATAACATTTTATCTATTTTGAGTTATATAGCAATATTAAAATTAATTTTGCCTTTCACTTTATTTTTTTTAAAGATGACTTCCAGAAAATTTCAATTCCCTAGTGGCTCACATTACAGTGCTATTGGACAAGGCAGGTATAGTCTTTCAGCGTCCTTTAAAAAAAAACTCATTTCTTTCCTCTGTTATCAGGACTGTCTCCTATTCCTTTATCTTCTTGCAGCTCTTCTTGCCTTTGCTTGTCCTCTTTCCCCTTTGGTTCTCTCCTTTCACTGTCAAGAAGGTAACCAGTGGCATGAGGGGGAGGGGACCCAGTGCCCACTTTCTCATGCCCCCATCCCTGGGCTCGTCAAAGCCAGAATTCATGAGGCAGGCAGAGAGGCCCTACTTATCCAGAGCTTTTGAGAACTAAGGTTCTAGGTCATTGTTTCCTGGCTCTCTCTCCTTTTTTCCCCATTGCTTTTTTGCAATTTTTTTTTTTTTAAAAGAAATCTATCGACATCACATCCTTTCCACACTTGAATAGACCAATATAAGACACATTTAGTAAACTAGCTGTCGTCAGCCTCTGCACTACCCACGAGGGTCAAAATCACTTCTGCTCAACTCGTCCAATTTTTTTCCAGGCATTCACTTCCTGATTTACATAAGTTATTGAGTAGATTTATAACTAAACAGGGTGTTACTTGTTATTTTTCAATTTCTGACATGGTCTATATTCATATTATGGGAGAAATGTTCTGTTCTAATATAGTTTATCAGTTATTATATTATTTACTGCTGAGCCAAGTGGTATATAATATTTTCTTGCACTTTTTTTTTCTGCAGGTGATCATTGCCTCATTTCTTTTGTTACTGTCTTGCTTCCTATGATTTTTAAAAATAAATTCCTTTTTTAAAAAAAAATATTTATTTATTTATTTAGTGTGTGTGTGTGGCCAGCTCAGCCCACCAGGGGGCGGGGCCGGCTGGCATGTGGTGCTGGGGGATTGAACCGTGGTCTCTGTGCTTTGCTTAGCTTAGCTTGTTCTAAGTAGGTACTTTAGACCACTGAGCCATCTCACCAGCCCCTAAAAATAAATTCTTATTTATTTATTTATGTATGTGGTACAGGGTCTTGCCACACAGCTCAGACTTGCAGTGATGGTCCTGTCTCAGCCTCCCCAGCACTGGTACTACAGGTGAAAGCCACTAGGCCTGGCTTTGGTGACTGGCATGACACTGGCTCAGGGTTTTAGGAGCTTGCATGGTATGTGGTAATGGGGATCAAAGCCCAGTCCTTGCACTTGCCAGGCAGGCACTTAGACCGCTGAGCTATCTCCGCAACCGCTAAAAATGAATTCTTACCAAGTTATCAATGTTTAAATTCCTTCAAGTTGTATTTTCATGTGGCCAAATTTAAATGTAATCCTATTCTTTCCATCCCCCTTCCTTTCAGAGACTCTCCTGAAAGCTCACCCTTTGTGGAACTTCCATACAACTTTGTGCTTGAGAATACGACGCCTCTTTGGGGTGTACCTCCCAGTTTCACTGTTCCTTCTTTTTCTTCTTGTCAGTACCTCTTTGAGAAGATGAGAGGGATAATTTTTATTTGAACTCCTGCATGTCTGAAGTGGCTTTCTCCTACTCCCACAGTTGATTAATGGTTTGACTGGACATGGAAATCTAGATTTAAAATCATTTACCCCCTCACTACCTGGAAGGCAGTTACTCTATAGTTAAGCTTCGAGGTCACTTTTGAAAAAAAAAAAAAAATCCAATGTTATCCTGATTTTTGCCCTTTGCGTAGGAGCTGAGTACTTTCTTTCTGGGAGTTGCCAGAATGGTCTCTTGGCCCCTGTTTGGATATTTCACAGTGTGATACCATGGAGTGGGGTTCTTGCCCCCATCTGCATTACTAGGTACTTAGGCCTCTTTTTTTTTTTTTTAAATTAAGAACCACAGACCTTCAGTTCTGAGAAATATTTTTATAATTTTTTCATACTCATCTCTATTTCCTGAATTTTCCCCTCTCTTATTAGTGAAATATGGAGTCACATGGTAAACCTTGTCCTAGTCTGCTTCTGAGAAATGTTCCTGGCTTAATCTCTAACTCTGCTGTTGAATTTCAGATTTTGCTTTGTATATTTTTAATTTCCAAGAGCTTGATTTCCATTTTCTCATTGTTCTTTTAAAATAAGTTTCCTGTTGTTTCAAGGATTCAACATCTTAGTTCTCTGAGGATCCTGAAGTCCCCTACCCCTGCTCCAGCTGTCCAATTCTAACATTATCTTGGTTTCTCTGAATTGGTTTTGTTTTGTTTTTTTCATTTTAAGTTTGACACATTCTCTCTCTTTTTCACTTTGTAGCCTTCCTCATCAGATCTGTGTACTACCTGGTCAGTCAGACAAAGCAGTGCACCAAGAGCAGTCAGAAGCTCTGTGTACCCCTGTGTAAGATCAGACTTACAACTAACTGGCGTCCCCACACGGTGGCGAGGGAGAGACCCAGGCACTGTATGGGGCACTATCAACCAGAAGGACCTGCAGAGCTCTTTCCAAGACCAGTGATTTTCTTTTTTTCTTTTTTCTTTTTTTTTTTTTTTTTAATTTTTATTTGTGTGTGTGTGGCCAGCTCAGCCCACCAGGGGCCGGGCTGGCTGGCATGTGGTGCTGGGGGATTGAACCGCGGTCCCTGTGCTTTAGCTGAGCTTGTTCTAAGTAGGTGCTTGAGACCACTGAGCTTGAGAGAAGTGTCTTTCAGTTTGCAGTCCAGGGCAGTGTACAAAGAGAGACACATGCCTGGTGGCAGGACTTTTGGAACCAAGAAGCAGAAGGGGGGTGGTATTCCAAAGTTTCATAAACAGACCTTCACTTAATTGTGCTTGACACAGTGCTGCATTCCTGACTAGTGTCACCCACCCCACTGGGGGCTTCCTTGGAGGGAGAGTGCATGGCAAAGGGAGAAGCCCTGGGGAGACTTGCCCTCCATCTCCTTCTGCTCAGCTCTCTCTCTCTCTCCTGCTTCCGAGGGAGCCGCTCCCTCATTCCTGCCCCTTCTAGTCCCTCAAGGCAGGGCTTGGCCACTTCTTGCTGACCACCCCTCTGGTAGGCACTTGGTATCTGATTTCTCAGCCCTGCTAATTCCTCCATCTGTTTTTCATCTTCCTAATTTCTGTTGACATCTGTTGCCTGCTGATGTCACTCGTCCTGTTCTGTCTTTGTGTCTGTTTATGGTCTCCTTCTTCTGTTGGTCTCATTTCAGTGGCGTTTGGGAAGAAGCAGACGCATGCTCAATCTGCCAGGTTTAGCAGGAAGCTCTGTGCAAATCTTCCTGTACTGTGGGGTCTACCTCCTGCCTCACTGAAAGATTCCTCTGGTGCCCAGAGCTGGCCTATAAATGGAAAAATTTGCAAAGCTCTTTTGTCATTAAATTCAGCATAGTTAGAAAAGCACTGGAGCCTAAATTAAATGTGACCAGAGCCCAAGTTAGAGTTGGATATATTTGGTTTTAAATAAACTTTAGATATTGCTATAAATTATTATTTACATAATAAATTATTTTATGTGACTTTCCTCCTTAAATCTGCAAGGCAAAACAACTTCTGGCTTCTTTCTCTCAGGAGCAGGACTTGCTCTGGGTTGGGGTTTGGTCGACCAAGATCCCAGCCAAGTTCAGAGATTGGCTAGGCTGCTTCACTCTATGTGGTACATACGAGATTATATGGAAGGAGTTTAATTCAGGAAAGCAAATCTGGGGACCTTTAAACCTCTTTAATAAGTGTGTTAATTAGTTTTTTAAAAGATGTTTGTCTGTTCATTAACCTAAACATCCTTTCCCCTCCAACACACACACAAAACACCGCAGCATGAAAGATGACCTTCTGCAGGTAGAAGTGATGGGGTCGCTGTGTTCTAACAAAGGTCTGAGTTTTACCTGCTCCAAGCTGCCGGGGCAAGGACCAGGGTCCCGGGTTCATGTGGGAGCGTCCCAGTTCCCGTCCTCATGGACATTTCTGTCCTTGCCTCCCCAGGTGCCCCCTTTCAAAGGTCTCAGCATCCTCACGCTACCTCCTGCCGCCACTTCCACCTGGGCCCCCCGCAGCCACAGCAGCTCGCCCCCGACTTCCCGCTGGCCCACCCCGTGCAGTCGCAGCCGGGCCTGAGCGCCCACATGGCCCCGGCCCACCAGCACAGCGGCGCCCTGCACCAGTCGCTGACCCCGCTGCCCACCCTGCAGTTCCAGGACGTCACAGGTCCCTCCTTCCTACCTCAGGCCCTGCACCAGCAATACCTCCTGCAGCAGCAGCTCCTGGAAGCCCAGCACCGCAGGCTCGTCTCGCACCCCAGGTCCAAGACCTGCGCCAGGGGGCGGGGACAAGGAAGGGGCTGGGCTGGGCAGAGGCAAGACCTGGGGAACCCCCAGCCAGGCTGAGGCAAGGGGTGGAGCCAGGGCGGGGCGGGGCGGGACGGGCGGGGTGGGACGGAACGGGACGGGGCGGGGCGGGGTAGTGTGTTCGGATTCTTGGCTGGTAATTGCCAGACTTGACCAGTAGTGGCCCAGTGGCCCTGCAGGAGGCAGTTGGTACCCCTGTTGGTGGCATTCACTGCAGACAGTGAGCTCGACCATCACCTGGCGACTCCTTTAGAAAGCTAGTGTGTGTCTCTATCTTATCGCCCAGGTCAGGTTCTGGGGTAACTGCTGTCTGTGGTGTTCACAGTGGACTTTTTCAGGCGTGGGGAGAAATTTATTATTTTTATTTTTTCCCATAATTTTATTGATAAATAAATAGCAATGAGACAGTTTCAAACCAAATTGGTAGGACAGTTTTTTTTTCTTTTCAAAGTTTTA